GAATAAGGATTAAAAAGGCTTGGTAGTATCTATCTTTTTCTTGCAAGACTTTATATACAGCTGGTAATTACAAGCATAAGAATATTTTTAACTTTTTTTATTACTTCTTCATTATCTACTTCTTCAAATCTTTTCATTCTTTTCTCTAGATATCTTTTTTTTTTCTCTCTGGAATTTTTACTTTCTAGACCCATAATTGTTTATTCTAATTATACCATTATATCCTATTAATTTAAACATATTGGAAATAGTTTTTCTTTATTAAATATAGTAAGCTTTCTTTGGCAGAAACTTATTTTTTAATGCTTTAATCAATAGGCCCAAATGCTTTATTATTTTCAATCCAAAAACCATGATTAGCTTTTTCTCTCCAAAAGATCTGCAAAAGATAATTGCATTATATTGGACACTAGGTTATCAATATGGATAGAATTATGATTATTAACCTTAATTGACATGACAGATCCTATAGCTCAACATATTAATAGAAGGCAGATCAACACTAAAGTAATTATTGATATGAATACTAACATTTTAATTACCCTTATAGCAATTCATATTATCAGTATATAAGAAGTTATATCTTACTTGTCAGTTTTGTCCCTAGATTTGATAACTTAAACCAATTGAATCTTTTTGAAGTGTATATTAGAAGAAACTTGAAGTTATATCTTACTTAATCATATAATCTTTAGATTTGATAATTTGTGTTAATTAAGAATATTTGAAACATTTACTAGAAATATATATATATGTTGTAAATATCTTCTATAATTTCAAGCTATATAAGCTGAAGATATAATATAACAAAATAAGATGTTAAGTATTAATATGTGTTTTTATCAAAGTCGGATCTTAACATAAATAAATTATATGAAACAAGTAGTTTAAACTGAAGGTAAAAGTTTTATCTCCTAATAATTTCATCTGATATATTGACATATTCATATGATAAAAGTTGATATAATCAGGTTAAAAAATTACAACAGACTAGAATTAATTTACAGTATATATAAAAAATTCTTAATAGCTTTAAATTTTTATTTAATAAAAGTTTTGCATTTAATACTTGTTTATAATTTTTAAATATAAATAAATATATATATATACTTATTTTTTTTTTTTATTGTGTATTAGTAATAATTGTTTAATTGAAAATTATTTCTAACTACGATAGTTACATTTATATGAGATATTACTATCTAAGACAATACTATAACATATCAATATTCAGTAATAACCAATACTTATTGGGATTGCTTTAAATAATAATGTTTGTTATAGCTTGTTTCTAACTATATTAGATATAGAGACTAATCTATTAAATAAAGGAGTTTTTTGTTAAACCAGTAGCATACATTTTTATTAGTAGTTAGGCTTTATTTCTAACTTGGAGAAAAATTAAAAAGAAGTTGAAAGAAGGCATTAAGAGTAATATCTATAATAAATAAAGCTATATAATTCCTACTTGTTTTATTAGGGATAAATTTCTTTACTATCACTTGCAACTGGGTTAACTATTTAATTTTTTACCTGTCTAACTGATATTCAAAAATATTCAAGGTACTTATAAATGATACTTATTGCTTGAATACTAACTTACATATTGTAAGGAACAGGACTTATAACCAGATGCCTTCTTGGGATAAGTACTATCAGACCAGTTTATTACTGGATTGGGATAAGACTAAAGCAGGGATCTATGTAAAAGATATTGATATTAGGAGAATGATTATCAAATTTACTTGTTAAAAGTGAACATCTTATACACCTTATAACTTCTGATAATCATTGTAACACTAACTAAGTAATTGTCACATCACAACATTTTTTCTAAAAATCACAATATCAATGCCTATTGGATCAGTATGTGAAATGGCTTCTTATAAAAAACAGCACTTTTACAGGTTATAGTATTAAATATCATATTAATTTTATTTAACCACTTTTATATGAAATTGAACCAATATTTTGTAATTTGATCTATAAAATATTAACTATTATACTATAGACCCACAGATATATATTTATTTTCTTTAATATAATAAACTTTATAATATATACTTTTTGAATTAGATAACTTTAAAAAAAATTGATAATAGAACAATTGTATATGTTTTTTTAAAACAACCTATAAAGACTACAATATATAGAAGTTATATCTTACTTGATATTCATACTTTTAAATTTAATAGCTTATACTAATTAAGAATTTATAAAGGATTTAAAAGTTATATCTTATTTGATCAACAACTAAGTCTTCAGATTTAATAGTATATATCAATTATAAAAATAACTTTTAAAATATTTATTATGAAGTATATATATTTGACTTTAAATATATAGTTTATATTGAACTATAATTATAAATATGATAAGAAATATAAAGAAAGTTAGAATATAATACTAAAGATTTTTTAACAATTAAAATTTAAAGTTATATAGTTTAAAACTGAAGATATAATTTTATCTTCTTAACTTCTACTAATATATAAACTCATCTATAAAATATAAATTAATATAGTTGAATATGCAGAATTGAATATATCAATTTATATTAGTATAATTAGTAGATTATTTATATATAAGATATAAATAATCATTATAATGATTAATAAAAACTATATATATAGTATATTTAATCTTTTAAAAAAAAAAAAGTAATTTAATTATTAATATAATATCTATAGATATTTTCTTGTTTTTATTTATAAGTTTATTGATTTCTACTATAGTTTTGAAAATTGAAATCAAATAGACTTATATAAACTTATATAAGGTTCAAAATATTATTATTTTTCTTTTTTAAAAGCTAAGTGTATTATATGTGAACTTTTTAGTAACTTAACATTGAAATCATAATTATTATATAAAAGGTTAGGTTCAGAATATTTTTAAAATAATGGTAGATTATAATTACATATTAAATTTAATATAAACCTGAAAAATCAAAAATTAAATCAAATTAAATTGTTAAAATCTTTAGTTTAAATTGTTATAATATATTAAATTATTATAAAAACCCATATTTCTCTTGATATAACAAACTTTACAATACAAAAAAATATTTTAGCCTAGAGCTATTCTAATTTAATACTTGCTTAAAAAAAGAAAAACCAATTGTAAGAGAAATTTAAAGCCATAGATAATAACAAAGAGCAATTTAAAGCCATAGGTAATAACAAAAGGCAATTTAAAGCCATAGATAATAACAAAGAGTAATTTAAAGTCATAGGTAATAACAAAGAGCAATTTAAAGCCATAGGTAATAACAAAGAGCAATTTAAAGCCATAGGTAATAACAAAGAGTAATTTAAAGCCATAGGTAATAACAAAGAACAATTTAAAGCCATAGGTAATAACAAAAAGCAATTTATTTTCTTTGAGATTCTAAATAAAAAGTATTCAAGATATTTATATATTCTAATTATCTTTATAAGATAATATAACACTTCTCTTACAACAAATACAATTGAGATAAAATTTAGATTAAGTTAAATGATTTAAAACTAGTAATAGGATTTCATCTTTAAAGATTTCACCTGATATGTGAGCTCACCTTTTTGAATTGTAAACTGATATACTGGGCAAATCTATATATGAAAAAACAGATTAACTTAAATAGACCTAAATATGTACATGTATTGGATATAAATAACAATAAAAAATTGTGCATATGGCATCTTTCACTTGAAAAAAAAAATAGTAATATATTTTATGTTTTTCTAATATTGACTTTTTTTTTTAATTTTTTATCAAATAATATTTAATTTTTATTGATTAAAAAATTTAATTGAACAATAACTAAAGTAGCAAAAAAATAAATAAAATAAAAATTAGCCGATCATTATTATTTTTTGCAATCACTGTATCTAATTGTTTTACTAATTACAAAATAATTCTAACAATTGATTTTCAAGTATTCCTTAATTTATTATAATAAATATGTATAAAAACAATATGTATAATATATATAATATAGCGTATATTAAAAATGATTTACGCCAGGTAATTATATATCAAAATAATAATATTTTTACTGATATCCAGATTGAAGATTCTATCGACTTTGGAATTCACTTTGACATCAAATGTTTATCATATGAGGTCATTGATAAATGGCGCGTTTATATATATACCTTTAAGTCGCTTCAAATACAATAATTCGACTAAAATTTGATCTTTTCAATCAAACTACGATACATGTACATCTGTGCAGGAGAGAGTCACTAGGTACGAAAGATCATTTCGCGATAGCTCAATGTAATTACACAAGATTTCACAATTACTTCACATTTTTAATTATATCTATTAGAACTTTTAAAGAATGGCTCGAATTCGATTAAGAAAGGAGCTAGTACTGATAACAATTTAGGATAGCAAATTTTCTTGGGATCGGCCGGTTACATAAGAAAGAGGAAAGATTAAGGAGAGTTGGATGCCATATTTTTTCTGTAAATAAGTTTCTATGTTATCAGGCTGTTATCTTCTTTTCAGATGCCTGAATATTTTATGTTATCTAAGGCATGTACAAAGATCAATCAATCTTTGACCACTTTCACATGTCCTCGTAAATCTTATGTTCAAACTACGGTGCTGTCCTAATCGGAACGCCAAGTTAAAAAAAAACCACTTCTCCATTTTCTATTTTATTGCATATTACCAGCCGACGAAGCGTAAAACGCCGCCAGATGTTCTTCACGAATTAAGCCATTCAGTGAGATCAAGTAAAATCGTGCATGTATACAACGTCCGTTACCAAGCATCTAAAAAATTTTTGGTTTGCACGAAAATGTTTTTCCGTGACTGAACGCAATACGCATCTAAAAAAACTTTTTCGAAAAGGAGGTTTAGATGTGTTTCAAATGCATCTCAGGTCCCATGATGTAAACACATTTAATCGGGTTGTACTGATGGAACCGTACATAATTAAATAAATTCACGTGACGCTTCGCTTTTAATTGAAGAATTTTCGTATGTTTTCGGCGCACAAGACTAAATTATGCAATGGCACCGTTTAACTGCAGCCCAACGCTGTGAACTGTTTCTAAAAATACTTTCATGTTCTCCGGATCAACCGTGGGTAAAATGCCATGACCGAGATTCACAATGTATCTCTCGCTTGTTCCAAATGTTTCCAACATCTTTCTGACCGTTGCCCTAATTGTATCGTGATCTCCATATAATACACTAGGATCCATATTTCCTTGAAGTGTCACCCTACCCTTGGTGATTGATTTTGCGTAAACGGGATCAACAGTCCAATCCAATGAAACAGTATCATATCCTATGCTCGATAAAGATTCAAGCGCGTACCAAGATCCTTTACAAAATATTGTCATCGGAACAGGGGTTATTCCGTCGAGTTTGAGTTTTGCTTTGACGCGCTCGGCAATTTGTGCAACATACGGTAACGAAAAAGTGGTAAAGTCATGAGGAGACAGCTCTCCACCCCATGATTCAAATACTTGAACCATCTAACCAACCATGAGATTTACACATCAAGTTAGGACGATCCTTCGAAAAGAATGAACCAATCAACTTCCTTACCTGCGCGCCAGCTATGATTTGACCGATTAAAAAATCCACAGCCACATCAGTAATTTTTTGTAGCAACCTTTTAGCTGCTTCGGGATACCTAAACAGCCAAGTTTTAGCCTTTGACAATGTATTGCTGCCTCCCCCTTCAATCATATAGGCCATCAAAGTCCAAGGTGCTCCAATGAATCCTAACAATGGCACGCGACCATTTAATGCCTTTCGTGTCATGGTGATGGCTTTGAAAACGTAGCCTAATTCCTGATATACATCAACATTCTTCTGTAATTTCGTGTCGATATCCTCCGGAACTACCAGAGGGTTCGGTAAAACGGGTCCTTTTTCGGGTACCATCTCTACCACCAAACCTAGAGCTTGTGGTATTACAAGAATATCAGAAAAAATTATAGCAGCATCAAGTAATCCATCATATCGATCGATTGGTTGGAGGGTAACCAAGGTCGCAAGTTCCGGTGTCCGGCAGATTGTGAAGAAATCGTGTTTACGTCGCTCTTCACGGAATTCTTTTGCGAATAATTGACCATGTATCGATGTTATTACATGAATTCTGATTCGAATCGAACGAAGGCATAAAGTTCACATTTACCAGGCAAATACCTTCCGGCTTGCCTCATGACCCACACTGGTGCGCGCTCGGTTTTTTCACCTGATAAAAAAAAAAAAAAAAATTTTTTTCACTTTTAACATTCGTAAAAAGATAAAGTAAACCGATTCAATTTACCGAGTGCCGCACGAATAATCAGATCATTTTTGAGTGGAGGGAAATCAGTCATTTTGAAATTCACAAGTTCCTTGCGGTTTCCAAAAGAAAGGGAAGAAATCGCCGTAATTTATACAGCGCAGATTAATTTTGCTAAAGATCGAAATTTTTCATACATCGACACGATGAAACCATAAGTAATTAGATGCACATGATCCAAGACACCTGATATGATACGTATATGCGTAAGATTTGTGAGACCTCAGGAGATTTTAAACCCCGGATGCAATTAACGGTACAAATTAACGGTGCAAATTAATGGATACTACGGACTTGGGGTAACGGAAATGTACATCTTTTCTCCAACGCGTGTTTACTCCTCATTCGATTACCTCCCTGCAGAACTTAACACAAAGCTTGGTTCTCTCGAGTTTAGGGAGTCTTGTGACCATCGGTCCTTTCATTTTAATAGTAGTTATTTCCATATTCGGAATGGCATCAGCCTCAGCCTATGAAATATAGAACAAATATTTGGAGATAATGAACAATCCTCACCCAAACATTAATTAGAGTTTGCTTACAATGTTGGTTTTACACAAGTGGGAATCCTCTTTATCTTACCTCGAAAAGGCGGTCAATGTCTAGCCTCAATTATGCTTTACTAATATAGGATAAGACGCCTTTACGATCAAAACCGGCTGATGTAAAAACAAGGAATTTATCCAGAATCAAAAAAAGAATAACTTTATTTTGTGACGTAAATTATGGTGGAGACTTACCACTCGTGCAGCTTTTGAACGAGTAAAATTCTTGGGAATTAAATAATTCTTTAAAATTGTTTCAATTCTTATCCGATGTGTCTGCAGTTTAAGTAAGATTATCGATGGATGTACATTTTTCTTTATCAGTTATCATTACAACAGTCCCGCCCACACACATTTGATACACCAATGTCAGACTGCTTCACTTACATTAAATAAATTTGGATGGGTTAAAAATGAGCCTCATCCTAAATTAATGAATGCACGTGAATGTAAATAAAAGAAATATTTATTTTAATAATGATAATGTGAAAGTAGTACATAAAATATTCACCTTCCATGTTGTAGTTCTTTATTCAACCGAGGAGACCTAAATTTCGTAAGATTTAACATACGCACGTACACACGCATGTACATAATTTTTATGAATAAAACCTGTAACGTAACTAGAACGCGTGGCAGATGCAAAGGTCATAAGACTTAATGTTTGTGATGAAAAATTAAACAAATCTTAAAATGTCAATCCCGATACGTACTCTCTTACATTCGTGCATGTTAATAGGTCTGTTATATTTTGTCATCCGTGCCTGGTCTATTGTATTGTATTGGACGGTTAATTTTGGCGTGTAGTACCGAGAATAAGAAACGCGTGACAAATAGGATGGCGGCCATATTAATTGATATTAATTGTAATAAAGGAATCGCTGTAGGCTCAAGATAAGAAAAAAAATTTTTTAATCTAGCATTGATGTGTAATGACATAAAGATGTAGAAAAATACGTACGTACCTTCCATTTTTATGAATATAAATCGTTCTTGATTGTCACAGTTGCTTATTCAAGAACGCACTTATTTATCAGATCGTTTCTTATGTTGCTACCCCTGTTCGTTCAAATACTATATCTGATGGTATCCTTTCCAATTTACTTTTTTGTATATTCTTCGTTCCAAGCTGATTTGATTACCAAGTGGGAAATTTTTCACATCACACCGAAATTCAACTCATCCTCTTTTATGCCCGTTAATGGTATGTATAATAGTGACACTATCTATCAACTTTATTTTTTCTTGTCAAACATTTTTCCCTTGTTGAACGATATTTAGATATTTATTAATCAAAAATTTGTTGTACTACAGTGCATACAATCCTTTTGTGTTTATTGTAGTTGGAAAAGATAAATAGTTTGTTAGTGAGAACCGAAGATCGTAATCTTCAAAAGACCAAAAGATTTTGTCCTTTAAACCTTTCTGAACCGATTCTTTCCCTTTTTGTCTTTCAACAAATACGCACAAGCGATTAAATTTTTCTGATACCATAACAAGAGCACCTTCTCTCACTTACAAACCGTCATGCTATCAGCTTACCAAGCAGCCAACCCTTACTCCCAGTACGATGTTGACCAATACGAAAAACAATCTGTTTCTTCAAGTTCTTCCTCATCGGTATCCTTTAGCAATTTAGCGGTATCCGAAAAATTATCCAACACCAACCGTCAAATGGACCAAGAAGAAAAACAGAAGACCCGAGAGAAACCCTCGAAGCGCAAAAGCTTCCGCCGAATGTTCGGTCAAAATGAGAAAGAAGAAAAAGAGGAGAAAAAAGTCAAAGAGAAAAAGACTATCTCCTTGCCTCTATTCTCAAAAGGTAAAACCGGGAAAAATGAAAAGAATGAAAAGCACGAAAGAAACGAGAACGAAAGGTTACGCCCTACTCCTAATCATTCTAACAGCGGTGAAAAACGCAAAAACCGTCTCAGCTACATCTTCTTTTCGGATGAAGATGGCAAGAAGGACGATTTAACGCCCAAGGACGATGTGCCACAAAAGAAGAGAAGCAATAGCAATAGTTCCTCCTTCACTCCTTCTGAAAATGAGGATGGACTAGAAAAGTCCAAGAACAAATCAAATACAAATCGGCTCAGTAAATTTTTTAGTTCGGAAGAAGACCGCAAGAGAAATCTTAATACCAATCACAATAATCTCTCGGACCTATTCATTGCTGGAAATGAAACTCCAATTAAAAGTCACAATCGTTCCAGATTGATCAATAACAAAAATTTGACCGAATTACCCACGAATACACCAAGGCCCATCTCTCTAGTGTCTTCCAACACCATGGATTCAGATAATGTTGACGACACATACTCGAAAGAGAATGAACGTTATCAAGTCGACAATAATTCAATCAGTAACGATTTCTCGAATTATAGTGAAGATACAGTATTTCCCGATGACCGTGAACATGAAAACAATGAAAAAACCCAGGTCATCATTACTTCTTCGGTTATTCATGACGACGTAGGTCACCGGGACGGAATCGAAGTTACAAAAGAAAACCATCAAGACTACACCGAGCCGATTGACGAAGGAATAGATCATCGGGATGGCCCTGAAATTGTTATTGTCGATGAAAATAATCAGAATTATTCCGAGATTACCAGTGAAGACAAAATTAATAATGTATTTGCGGGTGACGATCGGAATCACCAAGATGATGAGATTCCTATCGAAGACACTAATCACGAAAATGACCAGGATTATTCTGTTATTGCCGATGAAAACAAAAACAACGAGTTCGCGAGCAATGATCAAAATCACCGAGATGGTGAGATTACTTGTAGGGATATTAATCATCAAGGTGACATCGAAAACGATCAAAATGATGCCAAGACCACCGCAAATCGTCACATTGAGACCGAGATTAATGTTGACAATTCGAAGATTATCGAAGACAATGTGCGCCAAGGTCATACCGAAGTTCCAACTGTAGATGTAGTTCATCGAGATTATGCCGATCACGTTGGTACCAAGGTTACTGGCGATAATGTAAAATCCATTAATGAAGATGAGAACAATCAAAATCCCACTCATGTAATCCCAGATGATAATATTGACACTAATAATCATGATGAGAACGAACATTCAACGCTTTCGACTCCTGCATCTTCTATTCTCTCGGATACCCAGTCTGTGGCCATTAACCCCGAATTCAATAGAAAAAGAGATTATCGAGACGAAGTGGAAGAACGTGATGTTCGTGTTATAGAGAAAAATAGGTTCTATGAGGTGAAAAAGATTGTAGAGAAATATCAAGTCCCAAAGATTATTGAAAAACATGTGATAGTCACCAAAGAAGATCCGCAAGCTCGCCAGAAGGTAAATTTATTATAGTCAAATGCACTGATCGCCTTTTCATTTGTGAGTAATCATTTACGGATTATATATATAGATCGAACAACTCCAGGTTACAAATGAAAATCTTGTCACGGTCAATACACAGCTTGAATCAAAAATTAAGGAGCAATCGCAACAAATAGAAAAATTTTCTTCTCTAGAGTCAGTTATGGTACGTCAGACACAGCTCGTTGAAAAAATGGAAGAGACCATAAAACGACTGGAAACTCAGGTCCAAGATCAAAAAGAAGAATTAGGCATTAAGATCTCCGAACACATGGAAGATACCGTACGTCATCTAGAGAGCAAGTTAAATGAGAAAAGCAAAGAATTAGATAATTTGAGAATGGTGATGATGGATCAGTTGTGCGTAAGCTTGCTTATAGATTAAATTGATCGCATGACATATTGAACGTTGATTCCATTGTCTAAATCATCCATTTCTTTCTTTACAGACAAACTCAAACACCACCTTTATATTTAAGCCCAGTACAGGTATACATATGTTAGTCTAATTCAGTTACTTGCTGCCGGTGACCTTCTTTTCTTCTTGTTTTCTAACGATCTTATCGTTCTCATTCTAAAGATGGTAGGGACCATAGATATCAATGGATTGTTGCCAGCTTCCGAAAATCCGTCGACGGATACGACTGCCGTGACGGCTATGGCAATGACAATGACAACGAGGCAAGAACCTCAGGAGATGTATTCGAGGAACACCCTTGTAAATACATTGGTGGTTAAACCATTAGTCAACACACTTGTGGTATCGGCCAGCATTGCTACGTCGGTCTTGTATGCCGTCTACATACGACCTGTCATCGGTCTCGTCAAAGTAGTAAGATCTGGAGTGTGAGGCTAGGAAAAGATCAACGATTCTACCGTCTAGTGAATGACTGAATTCCTTATTAGCAATTAATCTTTGATTTCTAGCTAAACCATCCATTGTCAATTCCGCACTTCGGAAAAAACAATGATTTCATTCTGAAAATCTACACCGGCATTTCGTGAAGAGTACAATACAACATAATTATTGTAGAAAAAAAAAAAGAACATTTACTCTTTCATCAATAATATATATATATTGATGAATAAAAAAAAATTCAACCTTATTTATTCTTGTCATGGTTACTTTATTGGCCCGATGGGTATTTAGTGTAATTTATTAATCCTGCATAGTCTTTATTTCATTGTATTAATAACAGTTCACTGGATGTAATTATGATGTAAGATACGAACAACTCGAGATTTTTCGTTTTTTTTTTTTTTTTTAATAAAAAATGTACATAATTTTGTACTGTCGTTTTCAAGAAAAAATAAATCGCATTCAATGGCGAATGGATCGTGACTCGAAGATCGTGTTAAAGAATGACCAATTATAGAATTTTTTTCGCGTTTTTTATATATTCATAATTTGTCTACTAAAACTTTAAATGACGTATCATATTTTAACTATGTTACCGCTACTAATATTCAAAGTAAAAGTTGTAACTTGCCAAAATATTATTTCGAGGTTTACATTAAAAACTTTTTTGTCAATCTTAAAAAACAAATCAGGTTTTAATTTTATAATACTTATATATCATGATAATAATAAATTAATAATAAATTAATAATAATATGATTCCGAAAATTGGAATCGAATAGAATCGAACAGAATCACATGAGGTTCGGAACACTATTAAAAATGATGATGGGGTA